GAATTTGGTATATTTCTTAAGTGTTAAGTTTAAAAGCGTCATTATGCTATATGAATCTGCCGGAGAATAAAGGTGATGATCATTGATCAGGCAATGCACCGAGACTTCACTTGCCAAATTGTTAACGTTTACATGCGTACGAAAACGGAATAAGATTCTCTCATCTTTTCTTCTCTCTTATTTGAACGGTTACGATTAAGTTACATCAACCTCTTGTTTTGAATTTTTTGTATAGAGAAGACAACAAATAAGGAAGTGTAGGAGGAAGGGAGGTATGTAGATGCTAATATGTGGGGAGACAATCCTAACCCTACCAAAATTACCCCAATTAACGACGCTACGATACATACATACATACATACACACATACATACATACATGAATCAATGATCGGCACAGCAGCCAGCGGGAATCGGTTGAAGGCAATTAAGAGCAATTCCACCCCTGTGGACTTTGCGCCAGCACCCAGCGCATTTATCCACTCAAATGAACAGTAATAGACTGGAGTGAACAGTAATAGGCCAAGGCATCTCCACCCCTAAAAAAATGCGCTGGCACCCAGCGCATTTATTTGGTGTGTTTTTTTTTTAAGTTTATTTCGGATAAGATTTTTAACCCATTTAAAATAAAGAATAAAAAAATAAAATAGTTTTAATTTCGGATAGGATTTTTAACCAATCTCGTCACGCCACGTGTCATTATCTGAACGTACTATTTTGTGAATAGATTTCCGATATTATTTTCAACCAATCCCAACACGCCACGTGTCACTTCCATGGTACAATAATTTAGCCAAGATTTCGATAAGATTTTCAACCAATCACGTCATGCCACGTGTCATTATCCGAACGTACTATTTTGTGGATAGATTTTCGATAATATTCTCGACCAATCCTGACACGCCACGTGTCACTTCCGGTTTACAATAATTTAGCCAAGATTTCGATAAGATTTTCAACCAATCACGTAGTGCCAAGTGGCATTGTCCAGAACCTCATCCTTTCTTTTTTTGTCCATATAAACCCTACATCCCTACATCCATCCTCACACCAAGCTCAATCCTTCTTTTTAGCTCAGAATCCTTGTTCATCATTTTCAAATCTTGAGTTCTTATTACAATGTCTTCTTCAAGAAGGGTGTATAAGCAGTTGCAAGAGCAACAACAAAGGTTGTTGGCACAACAGGCAGAATTGGCCAATCTCGAGGAAGGTGGAGGTGGAGATGAGGCTTTCTTCATGGAGGAGGATGAGGATGATCACCATAGAAGGCAGAAGGCCTCACATTCCCGCCGTGTCATGGAAGCCGTGGGTCAGATAGCCAAACCAAGACGTGTTTGCAAACCTCGATAGAAAAAGGGAAAAACGAGGTAAAAATCTATTGGAAGATTATTTTATTCCCAATAGCATATTCCCTGATCATGTTTTTAGACGGCGTTTTAGAATGCAACGACATTTGTTCAACAAAATCATGAGTGATATTTGCAACCATGATTCATACTTTGTGCAAAAAGAGGATGCTTTTTCATGTTCTAGGTCTTATTCCCGAGCAAAAAATTACGGCATCCTTGCGAATGCTTGCATATGGAGCATCTGCAGATCAAGTGGATGAGATCGCGAGGATGGGAAAAACAACTGTTCTGGAGTCCCTGATGCGGTTTTGCTCTGCAATTGAAGCCCTCTACACCAAAGAGTACCTCCGGACACCCACGTCAAGGGACATGCGAAGGCTTCTGAGGAAGGGTGAGATGCGAGGCTTCCCTGGCATGATTGGAAGCATCGACTGCATGCACTGGACTTGGAAAAAACTGTCCAAGTGCGTGGCAAGGAGCAATATGGCGACAGAAAAGGAGCCAAAAGCATCATTTTGGAAGCGGTGGCTTCATTTGATACATGGATTTGGCATGCTTTTTTTGGTGTTCCAGGAGCTCAAAATGACCTAAATGTCCTTGCCCAATCCCCAGTGTTCGACGAACTGCTGCAAGGAAACTCGCCGAGATGCACATATTGGGTTAATGGTACCCAATACGAGGGATCATACTACCTTGCAGATGGCATTTACCCAAGGTGGTCAACATTTGTCAAAACAGTGCCACATCCACAGACTGAAAAGGGAAAAACACTTTGCAAAATGTCAAGAAGGGTGTAGGAAGGATGTCGAGCGTTGTTTTGGTATCCTGCAAGCTCGTTGGGCGATTGTCAGGGCTGCAGCTAGAATGTTTGATGTCGAGGCTCTTCGATCCATCATGATGACGTGTATTATTCTCCATAACATGATTGTTGAAGATGAGTATGATTATGATGCCGTCGATGAATATGAGCCAGATCCGATGAACAACTCAAGAACACGTATTTATTGTGCTCATGATGGGACCGAAGATCCAGTGCAACACGAGCCGTTGGAACGTGATGGACGTTACAATGAATTGATCGTTCAGCGGTACACTAATGTGCAAGAGCCATACTGGCACGTAACCCGCCAGAATGACTTGATTGAGCACCAGTGGGGATTGCATGGAGGCGAAGATAATTAGAATGAGGCTTGTGGTTGAAGAATAAATTGTATTTTTTTTAAGTTTAAGTAATTCTATGTAGTGTGTTTTGTTTTTAAGTTTATTTGGTGAGTTTAAGTAATTCTATGTAGTGTGTTTTGTTTTTAAGTTTATTCGGTGAGTTTATGTAATTCTATATAATGTGTTTTGTTTTTAAATTTATTTGGTGAGTTTATGTAATCTTATTTCATGTGTTTAAATAAAGTACAAAAGAAATTAAATAAATAATTACATTAAAATTGCATAAGAAATTAAATAAAGTTCAAACCTAAAAAAAGAAAAAACATAAGAAATTAAATAAAGTTCTACTAGAAAAAAGAAAGAAAATACATAAAAATACATAAGAAATTAAATAAAGTCTCTCGAGTTAGGATATGTGGTGCTAGGATCTTGGTTGCCATGATTTGTGTAGCTAGAACCCCCTTGACTTGTTTCCGCATCTCTTGCACGCCTCCTACGCATGGCATCTCTTTTTTTCCGATGTCCAAAAATATTTAGAATTCGGAGACAGTCCTACTAGAGACTTGCTCATAGTGTCACGATCTGCTTGAGCCATCCTTTCTTCTCGAAGCAATTCATTTTTCTCGATGAAGTGCTTCTCTAACCAGCTCGTTCTCTCGATTAACTACTTCTCTTTGTCTTTCAGCCGCCGCATCACGGGCCTCAGTAGCTGCTAATATTGCTGCCATAGCAGCAACTTTTTCCTCATCTCTAGCCTTTTCTCGTGCCAAGTTTAGTTCACCTTGGCGAGCAAGTTCCTCCATATATTTAGTGTAGTCATTTTTGGAAGAACTACCTTTTTTCTTTGACGCCTTTTTACCTAGAGGCCTTAGGGACTGACGAGTCGGTTGGGTCTCGGGCACTTGTTCAGCCGTCCCTTCCGTGTCATGAAATGTGTCGGCTTCTTGTTCGGCCATGTCTGGTTCTGGAGAACTATGTAGACCCATACCGTGCATGACAACTTCTGGACCAGTTGCCACAATTTTGTATTTAGGGCAATCTTTGACAATTTGCCAACATTCCAATCTATTGAATGATTTGTTCCCGTTCTTTGAATTGTAGAATGCTTGAGCTTGTAGTGTCTATAAAAAAGTGGGATAACAGAGTGTTAAAAAATGCGGGTGTAACACAAATAAATAAATTCAAAATATTAATACGGGTGGTGGAATGCATATAAATTACATAAAAATGACATAAGAAATTAAATAAAAATGACATAAGAAATTAAATAAAAATTACATAGAAATTAAATAAAAATTACATAAGAAATAAGATAAAAATTACATACGAAATTAAATAAATCAAAATATTAATGTGAGTGGAATGCATATAAATAAATAAAAATATTGTCACCTGATCCGCTAAACTTGTCCCACTACGGAGGTTACCGGGAAGCATGAGAGATGGCGTTTTTTCCAACAAGTAAATGATGCGTTGAGTTTTTTCCAACGACCTTGAAGACCTTGACTAGTTCTGGCGTTTTCTCCATGTGTACATCACAAAACGCTTTCGTAATTTTACTCCACATCTCTCGCTTATCCATCTCATTACCCGTAATCGGATCATGAGTAGTGTGAACCCAACATTCACACAACGTAACATCTTCAATGAGCTTCCACGAAGACATTTTTTTCTCTTAAAGTGTAGAAAATATTGAAATGTAGATAGTATAGAAAGTGTAGAAAATATTGGAATGTGGTGTAAAGGTAGAAGATGAGGGTTAGGTATTTATAGGAAAAAAAAAATTAACATTTTTCAAAATTTTCTGTAATTTTTTTAAAATTTTCTGTATTTTTTAATAATTTTTCTGTATTTTTTTTTAATAATTTTTTAATGAATTTTAATATAGTTAATTAATCTGGACCGTTGGATTTGAAAAATATTCAAATCCAAGAGCTAGGGAGTTGCCACGTGGCCAACGGTCATATTTCTGACCGTTGGGCCCTTTTTTTTTTTTTTTAATTTACTTTTTGTGAAAAAAAACGTGGACCGTTGATCTTTGATCCGACGGTCTAGTTTAAAAGTAAAATTTAAAATTTTTTTACCGTTGGAAATCCAACGGTCTAGAAAACTAGCCGTTGGAAATCCAACGGCAGAGAGGTAGCCACGTCGCAACTCGGGGGGGGGGACTGACAGCGCCTGCACGCGGGCCCCGGCGTCTGAAAGCTTGTCGGGCACTCGCCAAACGGCTGCGTGAAGTGCACGCGCCAGCTTTTTCCCCGGTTTCTGTCTCAGTCTCTTTTGGGCTGGGCTCTTGCCCAGCTCGGGCTGGGTACCAGTCAGTTTGTTGGGGTGGACTTGATTGACAGAGGCCTGGCTTGGTTTTTGGACTGGAGGCTGGGACATTTGGTCCCCGGTGGAATTGCTCTAAAGCAAGCAGCGGAGGTGTAAATGGGGCTCAAAATGAGCTCAAAAGGGGGGCATAATAGTCTGTCTACTCGTCTAAGACATGCCGACAGGTTATAGGTTTGATTTGAATCCTAACCGTTGAATGTCATCCCACGGCTGCAGCAGTCCCCGTGTGCCTCCGGCATTCCCCTGTTGTTGTTGTATGCCAAAACCTCACGGCACGCCTGGTATCCCATAAGTATCTGCTCTGCCCACTCCCCCGTCATTGCATTCATTTCTACAATAAATTGTCTCCAGTTTTCCTGTGTCTTCTTGTTTCTCCTTTTGCATTTGCATGCGCCTTTTATCTGCAAAAATGGCGCAGAGACCCAACTGAGGAAGTGCTTAAATTTCACAGTTTCTAGCCTTTCCCAATTCGTTAAGCTCTTTTCTGATCTGGGTATTCGCTCAAATGGAGGTTGGTGTTGTTGGGTTGCTTAGAACAGCATGGATTGCTGCGACTCTGCCTATACTCATAGCCGCTCTGCCTTTTTCTTGGCTGAGCTCGTTTCGTGGGGCTGTACTGGGGTTTGCCAAGAGAGGGAAGACCATGCAGTCGTCCTCCCAGGTAACGGATTTGAGTTTTTGGCGCGAATTTGATGGGTCTATTTTGGTTTATGGTCTGTTTGGTTGGTGAGAAAGTTGAAGAAAATGGGAAACAAGGGTTTATCTGTTCAATTGTCACGGGTTTTTGAGAATGCAAATTTTTTAGTTTATTTCGTATTTTTTGTGGACCTCGTGCAAGAGTTAATGCTCTTCACCAACCAAGCTACAAGTCGTTATGAATTCCTCTATATAGTTCTGTTTGTTGAGAGTTGTCCTACGACAATGTTTGTTACGAGCCTATATGGTCTTAAGTTACTTTCTATATAATCAATTGATTTTACAGTAGAATTCCAATTTCATCATATTATCAGAGCGGGTTGTCATCGTGTGAAGCCAAACGGCCATATGCACTCCACGTCACTCAGTTGTTGTCCATGTGTAGGCTTGAAAATTCGCCATACGTGTGGGGCGTGTTGAGAGTTGTTCCACATTGGTGAGGGACAAAGTTTTCTATGTGCTTATATAGTCTTAGACTATACCCCATATAGCCAATTGGGACAAGGTTTTCTATATGCTTATATGGTCTTGGCTACTCTCCATATAACCAATTGGTTTCTCCATATAGCCAATTGGTTTTATGGTGGATCCCAATTTCATCACTTGTTCACCACATGATCAGTTTTTTATTTTTTATTTTTCCATTTCAGTAAATCTGAAATTTGTTTTCTTTTCTCAAATTGTAGAAGTTCACAGTTCCTCAAAAGTTCTTCTGCCATTTCTATTTGGTAGCCGTAGCGTGGACAACCGTATTGCTCGTTGCAACTTTGATGTATGCGTATAAAGCGGTGCCATTGGTTTCAGATTCGTTGCTTCATCCTTCACTCCCCAACCCCTACACTGGAGGTTCACATATCTTTTCATGGCACAAGTCTCATTTGATTCCTATCAGTTATAAATACAGCGTTTGGCATTCGGTCCTTCTGCTTGTATTGATGGAGGTTCAAGTCTTGAGACGCCTCTTTGAGACAATATATGTGTTCAACTATAGCTCCTCCGCTCGGATGCACATTTTCGGATATCTGACTGGCCTCTTGTAAGTTATTTCAGAATGCATATATATACATTTATATGGAGCATGCATCTTATTACTGCTTTTAACCGCGGGATCATATCCAAGATGGTTAACTGTTTGATTCTAGATTTATTAATTTTGAATCTTGATTGATTTGAGAATGTATAGGGAAATTAAGTTTTCAGTAATATGAAATTCGGTTTAAGTTTTTAACGGAGATGGCACATGCAGTGTTTGATGAATAGCCAATGAGAGACGCAGTACGCTAACCATATATGAGACCGGTTTCTAGTTATGATTCAAAAAGCTAAGGGCTCTATTCGTAACTTGAGGTTGTTTAGCTTTCATTTTTAATAATAATTCTGTTTTCCATTTTGGCTTTCGATATGAACAGGGGATTTAAACTGCTAAACAAATTATAATGGTGTAGCGTAAGAAAGCTGGTTGCAATTCATAGTCTTCTGTAACTGCAAATACAGTTTCCAATAGGTTAAGCCTAGTTAAAACGTCTAAGACTTTGTTCTTTCTTCCAAGATATGCGCTCTTCTAAATAATACATATTGCTTCAGTAATGCAAAGCTTACTACCTAGACCCATATATTTAGTGGAAGTCATAACCGACTAACCTTCTGTGCTATGGAATGAGAAATGTTAACCGTGACTATTATATGTAACTGTCAGTTTCCCCATGTATTTTGACGTTTTCTTCATCAAACGTAATAGAAGCTGTTTTACTGATTACGGTTCTTTTTTTACATTAGCTTCTACACAGCAGCACCGCTGTCACTTTGCTGCAATAATATTGCGGACATTTATAAATTTTCGATAAATGGAGTGGCTGAGTTCATTGTCAAAGGCAAGAGTAGCATGCGAGAAGTGGAATTTGATTGGTTGCAACTCGTGAATTCTCTTTTGAAGCTTGGTTGGCTCCAGTGGATTGGTGCAGCTATATTTTTTTGGGGTTGGATCCATCAGCGCCAATGTCATGCAATTCTTGTATGTCTCAGTGTCACACACACACACACACACACATCTCCTTCCTCCCCCCCCTCCCCTCCCTAACAAAAGAAACCTCTGCTTGATCCTGAATCTTTTGATCGTCACAAAAAAAAAAGAAAAAGCATGCATTTTACCTGGTTTAAAGCAATATATAAAACAAAATGGAATGGTGATATCGGTGAGATGCCGCCAAGAAATTCATCGATAGTTACTGTTTCATTTCATACCGCTGAATTAAGGGAATGTTAATATTGTGTTTCTTATCTTGATCTTCCTTGATTTTACTTTTATACTGATCCTGACATGTGAAATCTTATAACAGGGCTCGTTGCGAGAAAACAGTGAACAAAATGATGAATATGTGATTCCTCACGGTGACTGGTTTGAAATTGTTTCATCTCCACACTATCTGGCTGAGATAGTAAGTCTCACGATTCCCTTGACTGCCTGCTTAAAGAGAATTCTATTGTGACACGAATAAACTCCATACTCTTTCCAAGTCTTTGATTTATATGTTAAATTGCTATTTTTATGACGATGAAGGTTATATATGCTGGCCTTGTGGTCGCTAGTGGAGGAACAGATCTCACAATCTGGTTACTTTTTGGATTTGTGGTATGATTTCTGATGTGCTGAAAATATACGTACACATAAAGAGTGCACATAGACTGATGTCTTGGAAAGTAAACTTATTTCTCGTCCGTGTGCTTTACTCTCTTATTTGGTGTCTTTCAGGTGACAAACTTGGTATTGGCAGCAGCAGAAACACATAGGTGGTACCTCCGGAAATTTGAAAGTTATCCCAAGATACGACGCGCCATTATTCCATTTGTATACTGAGCACAAACTACAAAAGCTACTCGACTGGCAAAGGTAATTGAGTGTAAAGCTATTCGACTCCGCAGGATTCAATTCAAATGAACAAGTAAGCAACATATAATTTGTGCAAATATGTAATTTGTTACATTAAACTATACATGATTTTCTTTAATAACTCATTTAGTACCAAAAAAAATACAAGGGCCGTTTATTATATTTTCCTTTGCAAGGCCTAATGCAAAGGGCGAATAATGAAGTTTTCAAACTAGCAGATAGATGAGCTTCTGGAAAATTATATGAAGCTCAGTTTATTGTAAGTAAGATTCACGATAGTTTCCATTTCGCTTCCGTTGAACAGCCTTGGAAGAAGTTGCGGAGGCAGCAATTCGAAGGTTTTTGAATGGCACGCTTATGCATACACGTCTAAGCCCCAAGTCTTGGAAGGTAGACTGGTACGATACTTCCTGTCGATACTGTAGATGAGCTGCATGTCTTCATCGCTCAGCTGGAATTCAAGAACCTCCAAATTCTCTTTCAATCGCTGAATTTTCGATGATTTTGGAATCACTGCTGTTTTCCTCTGAATTCCCCACCTCAGACAGATTTGTGCCACGCTCTTTCCGTATTTCTTAGCCACATCCTGTAAATGAAACGCTTGAGTGAGCATACGTTTGTGAATCATTAGTATGGTTGTATTTTTACTAGCGCTACGATCCAGTTGTATTCCATATGGTGTGTGTGCTAAAAGAGAGAAGACTTACATTGAGAACTGGATCATCCAAAGGTGAAACAGAACCAAACATATCCTTGTTGGCAGCAGCACCTCCGAGAGGGGTGTGAGCTGTGGGAAGAACGCCGTGTTTCATACAGAATTTGACGAGAGAGTCGCGCTGGAAATAGGGGTGGGTTTCAAATTGGCTCACAGCAGGCTTTATTTTGGAGTAAGCCAAGCAATCTCTAGTTAGAAAGAGCTCATAGTTGCTGCAAAACGGAAGCCGATGATCATTTGGTTTAGTGACATTCACTGGTCAATTCTAGATAATCGAGTTTGGATACATAGATGAAAGTCTAGCATAAATGCTTATGGGATGTACCTGAGACCAATGCTGCGAACTAAGCCCAAAGAGACGGTCTTTTCCATGCCCTCCCAGGTTTGTTGAAGGGAAATTGTTACATCGATGTCCAACACCTTATCCTCGCCCAAAAGACTGGCAGTTTTACCAATTGCTGTGACCATACAGCAAAGCAAAATAAATACCAATTCATTGTAAATTAACTATTTATAATTATGTAACGTTACAGCGTTGAGTGACACAATAATCTAACCACAGAGAGAGAGAGAGAGAGAGAGAGAGAGAGAGAGAGAGAGAGAGAGAGAGGTACCATTGTGCTTTGTGGGCATTGGGTAGTGAACCAGGTAGAGATCCAGATAATCTATCTGAAGCTTCTCGAGGCTGTTCTTACAGGCCTCCACCACATGCCCATGGTCTGAATTCCAAATCTGCAATATAAGAACAACAAAATTATATTTTAGTCTCTTTGGAAAATGTGAGATAAACTCTAATACTTCGTTGTTTGCGTTGCAATCTTGATATATTTTTGTTCATTCATGAGTAAGAGTATTAGATTTGACTCTTATAAATGACGACTTAATACTTGGTCATCACCGGTCCGTTTTGTGGCGTAGCCTAAATTTGTCACACCAATTTTATTTTATAAAAGTAGCAAAATAAAAAAATAAAAAAGGGTAAATAAATTAAACCGACCTTGGTGGTAATGAAAAGTTCTTCCCTCTTAACAAGTCCAGTCTTAAATGCTTCTGCAAGTGCTTCTCCAACGTCTGCTTCACTTTTGTAATGAGCTGCGATATCAAAATAATTTACCATTATTAAGCATACAACAATAACTAATCTGAAATTAAATTTACAACATGAAGACCAAAATGTCTGGTTTTATTCTAAAAATCAACTTTGCAAGTAGTTAATTGTTCCTGATAATTAAGACACTCTTCTTCTGACCACTCTCTCGCGTTTATTATTAGTATTATTATTATTTTATTTCCCAAGGTGAGAAGCAAATTAAGCAACCATGGGGTGGGAACTTGGATTATTCCTCATCCCAAGGTAAGAAGCAAACAAGGGACTGGATTATGGTTATTCCTTTTCCCAAGGTGAGACGCAAACTTGGGATTGGTCCAAAAACATAGGGAACCAAGGTATGCCACTCATTTGTCTTGTCCACCAGAACACAACAGTACCTTAGCCTAGTTCGTCATGTTGTGCTCTCGGATGTATAAATTTTCAGAGTTTCGAGAACACAGTCGAATACAATAAGTGAAATAATTTAAGAAAATTATTATTAGCACTTTAATAATTTTTTTTGGTACTTTAAATTTTTTATAATTAGAAAAAAATACATATATGATGAGTGTAGAATGAAATTTTTTTAGTGATAATAACAATTTCCTAATTTAATTGGTAGCAATTTTTTTCTAAATTTTTAACTAATTGTATTATTACAGATAGCGTACTAATTGTGTTCTCGACACACTAAAAATTTTCTTTAGTGAAGGTGCACTTAATCGCGTCCTAAAAGACAAACTGCCATTTTTGGAAAAAACCATAATACCCTTTTCGGCCTAAACTAAAAAAAGTAAAAGATTAAACACTTATTTATACAACTCATAGTAACCAAACCTGTGTTTTTGTTTGATTGTTTTGTTTATAAAAATTCATATGTTTGCATAAGTCAAGTTCATTTCTAACATGGTCAATATAAATAATTTTCTTTTTAACTAAGCTAAATGAAAACAATTTTTCCTCCTCAATTAAAGAATACCACTTAAAAACTTTCTCTTCATCGACCTCGTTTAAAAGCACAAGATGTTTATTGATATAAGGTATTGAAAATATTTTATGACCTCAAACGAATTATCATAATTTTTCAACCAAATAATATTGAGAAAAAGAAAATCAAAATCTCAAATGCATGGATGCAGTAACATAAGCATACAGTGGCTAGCGACATATAGTAATATTTTTCTCAGAATATATAAATACACATATATTAATTAATTTTACTAAACTATAAAAGTAACAAACGGGGTTCCCATGGTTTTGACTCCTTTACAAACTACATCCATTTTTTTATTTGATAGTTACATGTGACCAAAAATAGTTACGTTAACATTGCAGCACCGCTGCTTTATGGCGTGTACACTCTTTTCTTGTTTCTGAAAAATCTTCTGTGCATGATGCATGTGATTTCCTTTACCAAATTGCTAATGGAAAAAAACCAGTTAAACCCTTTAGTACTTCAGCTAGGTAAAGTGAAATCCCTTGAAAGGTTGGGTCGTTTTTTCTGATAATGACCTCAATCCGTAGCCGTGTACGTAGACATAAAACGATGGTTCTATAATATGACAGCTATGAGTAAGAATATTGATTAATACTAGCAAGGGAGCATTATTGTTCAATAGTCAAAGTCTAATATTTGATTATCCCTTCTTTAATATCGATTGTGTTAAAAAAAGATAAATACGGAATGAAGTAAGTGAAAAATAAAACAAGGATTAACAAACACATCCCCTTTCTTTGCGGTTGAATATAAAGCAGAATAATATGTAGACATGCATGAATAATGTAAAAAACGAGGAGGTGAGGGATGGAGGGTATACCAGCACAGTCAAAATGGCGATAGCCAATCTTAATAGCATTTAAGATGACCTCTTTAAGCTCGTCCTTCTCCAGACGCCAAAGGCCGAGACCGATGACCGGCATCTCGTAGCCACTGCTCAGGGTGACGGTGGACATGTTTTCTCACTCTCCAAACTCTCTCAGCGACTGCTGCAGCCTGTTTCTGTTTTTCTCTCGTCTGGCTTTGTGTATGAGTTTGAAGTATGCTACTAGGTTGGTGCCGCTCATGCCTTTATATAGCTGCATGGGCGTGAGATAAGGAATATATTTGGAACGAAAAAGAAAAGTAAAAAGCTTTATGGCTCTTGGAGGCTCCACATAATAATGGAATGAACGTGATGTGCCATATAATTTTGTCCGGTGACGTTGCAGTATCTGATAGGGTCTGTCTGATAACAAAATTTATTTAATTAGAATTTTGAGAAATTTTAATAATATCGCTTGTAATAAGAAGATATTTAATTAGAATAACCTAAAATAGTAATATTACTTCTAATAATAGAAAAACTATTGAATTAGGTTTTTATTTATTTTTATTTATACAAATCTAGTGATATCCAAGTAGAATTCAAGAGAACATTTCATAAAAATCTGAATATATTCAATTAGAATTTTAAACAAAATTTTAAAAATCCACGTGCATGATCGATTAGGATTTGTTTTAAGGGATTTTAAAAAGAGAGCTTATTAAAAGTCTATAGATTTCTTGGTACATTTAATTAGGATTTTAAAAACTAAGTTTGTAAAAGCGCACAAAAATATGAATGCATTCAATTAGTATTTTTAAAGATTCTAATTACAACTTCAAAGGATTCTGAGTTAGGATTTCAACAGAGTATATAAAACTCTTACAAAATTGGAGTGTATTCAATTAAGGAGTTTTTAAAGGTTCAGCCGCATTCAAAAGGATTTGATTTCAAAGAATTTTAAAAGGGATGTGTTATCCGCACACCTTCTTAATTTGCAGCCGTCGGATTGAATGAATTAAAATAAAAAATCAAATGACAGAAATTAACAAGGTGTGGTGTGAAAAGTAAAAAGAGGATGTATGGATAGCACACCCCTTTTAAAAAGTGAGGGTTTAAGTGGATTTGGAGGTATTTGATATAATATTTTTAAGTATTCCACAAATCGAGCCCTCCCTCTAAGATTTCGAGGGAATTCACTCCAAATTCATGCTCATTTGGGAAGTGCTTTTAATTGACTGAAAGCGCTTTGAAAAAAATGTTTTTGAAATCAATCTTAGTAAAAATGCAAGTTAATCCGAAAAAGGCACTTAAAGGCTTCATGCAAGAAGTACATATATAATTGATGCTTCTTGCAAGGACTTCAAGTGCTTTTGGAACCCAAACCATTTTCTCTAAAAGTGGTTTCGATTATACAAAAGCATTTCCCAAACGAGCCTTAAAACTCTAAGCTCGTTCTCTTGATCACTTGATGAACAATGATTCATGATCATTCACAATTGAATTTGATATCTGAGTTGAGAATAAAATTAAAAGTATGTGTACAAAACTCCACCCTTCATGACCAAGAAAACATTTATGTTAAAGCTCCATCAAACTTTATAGGTTGTAATCCTTCAAAATCTCTACTGAATACACCCATTCGTTTTTGTTTGTTTAATTAAAATCAATAAAAAGGATACAAAAAGAGAATGCGAAATAACAATTTGATAGTTAATCCTATTTCGAAATTGCTTTTAAATTTTTGTTTAGGTTATTCTTTTTTTTTTTGTTGCCAGTCATTTTTAGGTACCCGTCATTCCACACATTAATTATTTCGTTTGGCCCGAACCCATCACTCTCATTACCTCCCTTTCTTTCCCCATTGTTTTTTTCTCGGTACATTAATATTTTCTCTCTCTATCTTTTCCTTCATTTGTCTAAAGGCGTTCATCTTTTACCTCAGCAGAAAATAAGATGGTTAAGGCAAAAAGATAGATAAGGTAAGTGAGCAATGCTAATCTCAATTTGTAAGAAGACTGACTCTTTAGGTAAAGTTCTTTTATGAAGCAACTCTTTAAATCTTATTAGTCTTGTATTTATCTCTCATCATATATGAGTTGTATGATTAGAGACATAACACATAGTCGTATATAACCGGCTACAAAAAATTAAAATTCAGCCTCAGTATATATGAATATCATAATTATGTATATACTCTTTATACTGTGACAGATATATATAATGCATTGAAAGACATAACACATAGTTGCAATCATGCGCACAAACGATTTTATGCTGTGTAGAGTCATGTAAGTTGTACGTATTTAACTGACTCAAACGAGTATAACTGACTGTAGGAAAAGAAACACCTCAATGCCGCCCCTCCATATCAACACCACACCCATCGATGCTGATTCATACAGTGCCACACAGAGACATGAGACAAGACAAAGGGTTTCAACCTATGGTTCTTTCTGACCACACAAATACTAATCCCTAAACCATAAAAGTCAAGTACACTTGAGCCACCCCTTCAAAAATTGTCCATACCTCTCTCCCGCTAGCTAGCAGGATTGCAGACGTGAGGGGATTGGGGTATACAGGTGTCAGGTGAAAATCCAGCTGATCATGATCATCCTCTTGTTGCTTGTTTGGCCTTCGTCCTAGTTGCATGCACCACTAGTCACAATATATATATAGTAATTAGTCTGAAAAAACACTCCAAAAATGCTGGCTAAGAAGCCCAACTTTTGACAACCTTCTATCGTTTATCCTTTCCTCTCTGATTTATTTTGATTAGCACCTTGTCCTCTTTCAACTAACCATTAGGCCATTTTTACGTGGCGTGCTCTTACTGGTCTAGGATTTGACCTAGTAGGGCCATCGTTATACCATCAACCAATCAGCTGGCATGGGGGGTCTTTGTTTTTCCGATGGGCAGGGCATGTGCACTGGGCAGTGGTCAATTGATAGAAGAGGCTGTACGTAACAACGAAACTAGTTACGTGCATGAATGATGGAAAGGCAAGAAAATCTAAACGTAAGAAGAAAAAAGCTGTACTGTTTCATTGGTCTGAAAGCCTCGACTATTAAGAAGCGACAATATCTACCGGTGATATTTTATCAACATCTTTTGAGGTTTATATTTATTCAGCTGGAAGCCACAAGTTTTCAAGAATATACTAAACATTATTCTCATTCGTATTAGGATGGTCAGTGGAAACTTTTAACACGACTCGAGGTCGACAGGAAGCTAGCTAGCCGATGGATTAGGGTTAATTGATAGTTATTTACCATGAACACGAACACGATATGAACCGCCAAAATGAATACGGACATACGTAGTGAACCGCTAACACGAATGATATTCAAGCGAGATTAGCGTCAAACACAAGTAACATAATTTTGACAAATCCACTATCTAGTCTTATTTGGAGAAAATTATTATTTCCATTTCTTAATATATTGTATGAGCAAATCATTGAATAATTATAGATCTACTTTTTATATTTGTGACTCTAACACGAACGTGAACAAGTTGTGTTGGTTCGGAAAATCTTACACGTAACAAGGCGGGTGAGTGTTTTTGTATGAATATATCCTACCACATATTGATGGACTAACAGTTCGTACCACATGAGATGACATCATACTTTTGACTGATAAGTCAAATCATATGCCAAATCAGAATTGGTGACTCCAAAAGATAAATTTTTGAAAGTTCGAGCTCGAATCGGGAGTTCTGAAACTTCACTTGCTTTCCACTACAAAACCTCTTGTAATTAGTTGGGTGAGTGCATTTAAAAGTGGAGCATGCTAACAATGGATTGCTAAGCATGGTGACTGAGAGAAATGCTCGCAATTGTGGCTGTCATGTAGGATATCCAGGTGCTTGTGTCTTTCTAATATTTCATTTTCCCCATTTTCTCTATACATATACAATATGTAGTTGAATATCAGAGTGCACAACGAACAAGACTAACAAATAATAAGAATATTATTAAAAGAACGAGAATGCCGAAACGGCTACAAAACCCTAAGAAACTACATTGTGGCTAACTTGATTCTCAAACTAAATTACAAGCTCTATTTATAGAGCAATAAACCTAAGAAACCCTAATGCGTAAATGCCAAAATACCCTACTACAAAATCAAATCAAATATCTAATTAATTTCCTAAATAAACCTAATAAATTCCAACAACCCCCGTCAAACTCATGGCGGTACACGACATGGGTTTGCCAAAGTGATGTGGATGCAAGCTCCGTTATACTATCTTTCGATGCCAATTTCAATACGAAATTCCATCGGTGCAAGTGCAAGATCCCAAATTCCAGTGCCAGTGCCAATGCCAATGTAAGATTTCAATGCCAGTGCCAGTGCAAGATTCCATGCAAGTGCCAGTGCAAGATTCCATGCCAGTGTCAGTGCAAAATTTCCATGCCAGTGCAAAATTTCCATGCTAGTGCAAATTCCAACTTCCGAACAAACAAACAAAAAATCCAATTTACTTTGTCCACAACATCACTCAAGTGATCACCAGTCCAAGCACTCGAGTGATGATTGATCCAACAGAACTCTTGTGTACGCAACAAATGACCCAACAAAACAATCCTCATCCCAAGTCAACGAATTTACTTTTCCTCTTTTTTTTTTTTTTTTTTTTTTTACTTTTTTTTGCCTTTGCTTTTCTTTTCTTTTCTTTTTACCTGGGGTCTTCTCCTGATCACGTAAAACAATGCAGCAATCAATTCCATTGCACATTGCAGAACGAGTTGGTGCGGATACGATTGCGGACGGGTGTAGAAAACGGATAGGGTGCTGATGAGACAGTGCGGTGTTGATGAAGGTGGTGACTAAGAATTTGCAGAACAGGAAAATACCAACTAACAATCTAAAACGAACGATGAGCAAGACAAACAAATTGATATGAATCAAGGGCAAATTAAATCCCGAAGGATCAAACCTGCTATGATACCAAGTTGAATATCAGAGTGCGCAACGAACAAGACTAACAAATAATAAGAATATTATTAAAAGAACGAGAATGCCGAAATGGCTACAAAACCCTAAGAGACTACATTATGGCTAACTTGATTCTCAAACTAAGAAACCCTAATGCATAAATGCCAAAAAATACCCTACTACAAAATCAAATCAAATCTCTAATTAATTTCCTAAATAAACCTAATAAATTCCAATAGTTTGAAGGATGTTTTAAAGAGGGCGTG